AAGGTTCCCTCTCTAGATTTAGAACTTGTACATTTTCTCTCTTTCTGGACCCTGTCGTCAAATAAAAGCTGTGCTCCCAGGCAGCTTGCCCAGTTAATTCATAGGTCAAAACCTGTTTTCTTCCTATTTGAGATGGCTCTGAAATGGGTTATATTAACATTGTCAAAGGTAAACAAAGCTGGATGCTAGTTGAAGTGGTAAGGACAGATTTTATTCAGTAATATATTGTTGCAGTAGGGACAAGGGTCCAGGATAAAGTCGACTCAACTTTGACTTGGAGGTGAGCGGGCACTTTATAGGGAGGATGAGGGGGTAGGGAAGGAGGCAAGCAGGGTCTTGGTAGAGTCAGGGAAGTGCAAAATGACAAAAAGCAGGAAGACAGCACAGGTCCATGTGAAATCCATCTGGGTTTGCTAACTGGTGCTTATTGAAGTTAGACTCCTATCCCCCCCCACAGGGGCTGGGAAACAGGCCCATCTTCAAGTGTTGGGTGGAACCAATAGTAAATACCTTTTATCAGCCTTGATTTTTCACAGGCAGTTACTTTAAGGGGAGCCAGGGTCATCCTAGGGTTGTGGCCTTGAGCTGTTAGAGCCTATGTTAGTGTTTGTTCAAGTCTTTATAGGCCAAAGTTGAGGAGTGGTCAACAAGATGGCTTGGAGGAGTGTGGCTAGAGTTTGGTCAAGGAGAGAGTTTTTATCAAGAGCATAAAGTTTCATGTTGACACTTCCTTCTAAGGGTCTTTCCGGTCAGCATTCCTTGAAGGTCTGACCTGACTTCCTTCCTCCTAGAGGCTTGGAGAACTATCACACTAGTGCTCAGCTCATCCCTTGGTCCATAGCAGGCACCCACAAAATGCTTGAGTGGATGTGCAAATGAGCAATATGTGAACAAATCATCTCTTGAGTTTGTCACTTCACTTGGCCAATCTTATCCATTTTTATAGTGATTCTCATTTGCTTCCATTTTTCATGCTGACATTTCCTAGTTTTATCCCCAAATTATTTTTGGGGCTGGAACATCCTATCTATGCACTGACTACGGGTTTCCAAACAATATGTTTGAAATTGGAGACCTGTCAATTGATATACATGGATATCAGCTTATGTTTTAAAAAATATCCATTTGTACTTTAAAATGATGATTTGTGCAGATATTTTTACAGGCACAATTTGTGACCCTTCTAAAAGAGAAATACTGGTCTTTAAAATTGATTATCTGTCACAGGTAATGGCTTACTTTGATGTACATACACGCGAACCCAGGTGTTGAGGCTACTCTGCTGGTGTCTGTATCCATCACAGTGGACCTGTGGTACCTGGCCAGAACCACAGAGCTTTGGGGAAGTGGGAGGCTGAGAAAGCCAGCAGGCTGGGAGGGTGAGTTTCTGAGTATCTAACTGGAAAGTCTAAAACGTGGCTCAAAGGTGGTCAGGCCCCAGTAGCCTCTGGTTACAGGCAAACTAATGTTCTGGCTAACAGTGTAAATGCTGACCCTTATCTGAGAACACACCCTTTGACATAACCTCTGCTTGCAACCAGATCTACTTTAACAAGATCAGAAGTCACATAATTGCACAATGTGATATTTTCAAAAACAAAAGTCATGTTCTCTCCCATCATTTGGGTTCAAATTGTCCTTGGGAGGTCAGTACAGCAAAGGCAGAGATATTTAGAATTTTGCAAAAATTCCTAAGTGCTGACATACAAGCAACAACGTTACTGTTGGCAAAATTCACAAAGATGCAGGAGTATCTGGAGTTTTTCCGAGGCCATCCTCAAGTCTCTAAGGCATATTAAATGCTCAGGCATTACTCATCATTGGGCATAATGAGTGGGTGCAGGGATTCTGGTCACGAGTCTTCTTAGTCACTTAAAAACATGGAGAGGGGTGCCTGGGTGGCTCAGTTGTTAAGCGTCTGCCTTCAGCTCAGGTCATGATCCTGGGGTCCCGGGATCGAGTCCCACATTGGGCTCCCTGCTCGGCGGGAGGCCTGCTTCTCCCTCTCCCACTCCCCCTGCTTGTGTTCCTGCTCTCGCTGTCTCTCTCTGTCAAATAAATAAAATCTTTAAAAAAAAAAAAAAAAAAGGGCGCCTCGGTGGCTCAGTTGGTTAAGCGACTGCCTTCAGCTCAGGTCATGATCCTGGAGTCCCTGGATCGAGTCCCGCATCGGGCTCCCTGCTCGGCAGGGAGCCTGCTTCTGCCTCTGACCCTCCCCCCTCTCATGTGCTCTCTCTCATTCTCTCTGTCTCAAATAAATAAATAAAATCTTTAAAAAAAAATATTAAAAAAAAAACCATGGAGATAGTTTAATCAATATTTCTAGAACTGTGTTGGGGGTGGGGGTGGTGACCTCTCTTGTCATCTGTCATTGAGGATCCCCGAATATGTTTTCCTGGGGCCTTATGAGGGTTAAACTGGGGGAGAATTGGGGCTCCTTGCCAGCTGCTGGTCATCTGAAGATGTCCTCTAGGGAAGGAAACTCCACTTCTTTTAGGGAGGCTGGAGTGAACTTGGATTACACTTTTTGGACATGGACTGAGTTGCCACGATGTTCCTGTTTCCTAGGATAAGCTCTAGGAAAGACCATGTCGTCTTGATTGGCACAACCAGGGACCTGCTCCTAAGACCCTGTATGACCGACACAGACAGAGGGTAAGGAGTTCTCCTCAGGAAGGGAGCCGGCTGAGTATAAGGAGAAAGAGCCTGTCTGCAAGAGCTCCTCGAAGTTTCCAACCCCTCCTGCATCATGCCCAAGGGGCTTAGGTGCTTCAACAGGCTGCTTGGCAGGAGACTGGCTGTGGAGTGAAACCAGCTCAGGTCTGAGGAGCACGTGGGACTGGGAGGTACTAACTGGAGATCTGGGACTTATCTGGTCCACAGATACATTTTGTTCAGGCACGTGGAAGTCTTATAAAATCTGAGCCTTCACATTTAAAAAATTAGGGGGTTCCCATGAATAGCTGGGTTTCTGTTTTCTGAATAATCGGATCTTAGAAGTACCTGAGCTGTATTCCCACATGACAGTAATCAGCCAACTGAAGCTAAGTAGTGGCTACCCTCATGTTTGCCACGCTCGTGACCTGTTTCTCTCGTCCCCATTACTAATGTGAATCCCGAAGACACTTGAGTGTACAATCCTTGGTGAAGTTAAAAAATATCTACTAACACCTTCTATGTATATAATTCTGATGCTGTTGGCTTAGGCTCCTTCAAAGACTCTAGGTGGCGTTCTCACCTGCTGGAGAAAGCAGTTTGTAGACAGGGGCCTGATGCTATTAGGAGGGGAGAGTTGGCCTCACACTGGAGCTGGATTTCCACTGGACTGTTCATTAGTGACCCAGCCCCCTCACCTTTCAAATTCTTGCCATTTTTTTTTTTTTATACCTAGAATGCCATTATCGTTATGAGTTAGGACACGTGTGAAAAGTTACCAATGAGGCTGTTAGGCTCAGGGTTTGCATTTAGAGTAGTCAGGAAGGAGACAATGCCATCGCATCTGTTGGCATTCATCTAATTTATTATATATTTAAAAAAATAATGCACCCTCTAACAAGCTTGATCTGCAAATATGAACGGAAGGTGCAAATTGAAAAATACGTATCTCTAAATATTTTCACATGTAAAGGTTCAGGTGTAATTTTAAAAAGCCTCCCCTTATTGGAATGCATAAAAAAATTACATCTCGCAATCTTCAATCAAATTAAGGTTGGATTACATCAAGTGGCTGTACTAGGTTCATTCAGTTTCTTTCTGGAAATGTGAGTTAGCCTCTAAGAAATATTCAGAGTTTCAGAGCTTTATTATTTATGGCATTGTAAATGTCCTCAGTCATCGGCACATACATTTCTGCTTTGTCATCCAAGAAATATAAGGCATCTTTGATGACTGCAGGGTTAAAGCCCTCCTCCACGAGGGTCACTTTGCGGTGCTTAAAAGTTCCAGTAATCTCAATGGTGTCCTGAAAAACAGCAAACAGTCCACATTGTTGGAGTGTTGTGTAAATAGATGAGGATTCAGGGCAAGGGGCAGAGGTGGGGCCAGAGGGCTGGCAACCCACAGGCATCTCAGGCTCAGGTGGAAGCTGTGAGAGGCAGTTCCGCGTATCAATACCTCCTGTTTACAGAAGCTCCACGGGGCGGGGGAGGGGAGTGGCTTGTTTTCATTCCTCTGGGGCTTTAAAATCACCTGTGGGGCATGAGGGGCTGTGGAGGGTGAAAGGCAGAGCAGAGCTGCTTATTGAGCTCCAGGCGTTACTAGAATATCCTGATTTATGGTGGGGTGGGGCTAGGGATCATCTACACACAGATGATTTTTTTTCTTCAATTGATAGGTAATGGCTGATCTGAGGGTATTTCAATGTTCATGTCTCTCAACCATTCTTGTGGTAAAGCAAATGTCAGTGCTTTATGAACATCAACAGAAATAACCCTGTAACTTCCGCAGTAGCAGGTAATCTAATATTTCTTTTCTCAAGTCTTCAGCTATAGAATCATAGAGCTCATAGTCCAAAAGTGAAGTGTTAAGCTAACCAATGGGTTGATGCTTGTGAAAGAAAAAAAAAAATCCCTTTGATGGTGATAGTTAAGCTTTTGATAGTTCCAAAACAGCTAATGATGCCCAATGAAATTTCACACCCTAGAAAGGTGTAGAACTTCAGTGGATTTTTCCACTCTTTAAAACTGGAAACAACAAACAGGAGGGTCGGAGCATTTCTATTTTAAGTGTCTGTCATGCCTCGTCAAACACAGACTTTGTAAGTTATCTGCTAATACTGCCACGGAGTGAACTGGTCTGTCATTTTAGGGGAAAAGGGATCAGGATTTGGCTTCTGCTAGTTCTATTTCCTGATATTTCTGCTTCCTTGTTGAGCTTCCAGGTCAAGGTTAGTGAAAATATGGCTAATAGGGTCGCCATGGTAAAAGGCAGTTTTTCCCTAAGAGACAGTAGTCTCCAAGAGAGAGGATAATTGAACTCGAGAGCAAGAGTTCTCACCTGTATTCTAAGAAACCGGGGCCTTGCATAAGTGGGCAGGTAATCGGCAACATGGTTAAAGAGTTTCTTTCCATCAAATTCATAGTTTTCCTTCATTTTGATCGCGGCCATGCCAATTCGACCCTCATGACCTAGAAATAAAGTGAGAAAATATTAGATGTGTTGTCCTGTTTATGATGCTTTCCTAGTTCAAAGAAGAGGGGACTGAGAACATTACAACATGGGTTTCTTTTGGATAGTTGGAATTTCTATTTCAGATATATGTTGAAGTTATTCTAAGGTGAATACAACAACAAGAGCTATACACTGATTAAATCTTCTTTCTAAAGATTTATTTATTCACTTTAGAGAGAGAGAGAGAGAGAGAGTGGGGAGGGGCAGAAGGAGAGGGAGAGAGAAACCTCAGCAGACTCCTCATTGAGCTCGGAGCCTGACGCGGGGCTCGATCTCAAGACCGTGAGATCATAACCTCAGCTGGAACCAAGAGTCGGACGCCCAGTGGACTGCACTGCCCAGGGGCCCCCATTAAATCTTTATCATATGCCAGACCCTATACTAAGTGTGTTTTATGGACTACCCCATTTAACCCTCACCACAGCCTTCCGAAGAAGTGGAAATGTTATCTCCACTTTCAGATGAAAAAACCTGGGGCTTAAAGACATTAAGGGATTTGTTCAAGTTCACACAGCAAATAATAGGCAGAGTCAGACAGTGCTTGTAATGGTCATCCTTCTTAGTGGCCTACATGAAAACACCTGAATGGGAGCCAGGTCCCACTTGTGGCTCAGGGAATTTCGTTTTTTGGACTCCCGTGAAAAGTCCTTGCTCTGCTGTCATGAACCACTGGGCTCGGGGTGCAGTGTCAGGTCCGCTGTGCTTGGGCACAAACACCACCTTTGAGACTTACTTATTTAATCAAGATACTTAATAGCTCTGCCTCTCTGCATTCCAGAAAAGCTGTGGGTCAGAAGGGTGACGGGAGGCGCAAGGGTGAGCTGCTGTGGGCCCTCCCGTTGATAAGCTTTATTCCCAAAGAGGCCGTGTCTCCACAGAGACAGCAGATCCAGCAGCTCTTTCCTCCCTGTCAGGCAGCAACGTAAGTGGAGAGGAGTTTAGAACAATTACTATACTGTTTTCTTGTGAGGACAGTGGTAATTAGGTCTTAGTACGTCTTCTACCTGATCCAGCAGACCCAGCGGGAGTCTAGGTCCACTTCCCTGAACTACTTAGCTGTCATCAGAGAGGGGAAGGAGCCATCCTTCGTCACCTGGGCCCCAGCTTTCGAAACCTCTCCCATGGTGATTGTGTGTTTATCTGTGGCTCTAAAGAAGGTAGGAAACAAGAGGAAACATTAAAAGAAAGGAAATGCACCCCTATACAATTTGCCTCTTAGCTGAAGGAGGGAGGAAGGGCACCGGACCCTCTTTCTCTAGGGGTCCCGGGTAGCTCTGTCTTGAGAGCACCCATCTCCGGAATCTCGAATGTCTCAGATAAGCTTCTTTTAGAATCAAGGCAGAGGCTGATGCAACAGAAATCTTGAGCACTGACTGCCTCCCTGCCTCTCGCTCTGACAGAGGCAATGCCCAACTGAGACTCGAATAGTCCTATTGGGTCTCAGGTCTCTGCCCCGGCTCCCAGGGGTTGGTTTAGGGCCAGTTCAGCTCCAGTTTACAGCTGTTCTGGCCAGAGTCTCTCTAGAGCTGCACTGTCCAATGTGGTAGCCACTGGTTACATTTGGCTATTAAAATTAATTATAATACAATCCAATAAAAAATTCCTCAGTTGTACTAGCCACATTTGGAGTGCGTAGCAGCCATGTGGTAGTTATTGGCTACCATACTAGACAGTGCAGACATAGAACATTTTCATCATTGCAGAGAGTTCTATTGAGAACAAAAAGTTCTAGAGAGTAGCTGGGAAGTTCTGGTGTGACACCTAAAAAAATGTCCACTGGACCCAAACTTTGGAGTACCTTCCTGGTCCAAAGCTGAGATGTGGGAAGGTCTTGCCGAGCTCTCTGCTGCTGAGAATCACTCTGGTGGACTGGCTTATTCTAGCTAGCCCTGCCACATTTCTAGGCTGGAATGGGGCTGGCTGTGTGCCTGGCAGTCCAGCCAGCCACAGGCATGGCACTGAGAATCAGACTCTGAAAGCTGAGAGACCCTACTTCTCAGTTCATCTCTAATCTTTCAATGCTGCAAGAATTCTCATAGGACATCCAGCTCCTTTACATGCCCCAGTCGGTGGGGCATTCCCCACCTCAGGAGATAGGCTTTTCTGTCGTCCGTCTCGGGTTCTAGGAGGCGTCTCAGGCTAAATTTTGCTCCCTGGTATTGCACACCTGTCATCTATAATTAAAATGATTTCTTCTCATGACAATACTCATGTGTACATCTGGTAAATAGGTGTTTAGTATTTATGTAGTTGAAATGAATGAGTTCTCTTGACAATCTCAACAGCAGGGCTGGTATTACCCCTAATTTTAGTGATTTGCCCGAAGTCCAATGGCCAGCAGGTACTGGAGCCCAGGACCCGAGGTCAGACCTCAGCACTCCCCACTCTGCTCGCAGAAGCAGATCTGCAGATGAAGGCGTGGTGACCCCACTCTGTGTGATGATTCTGAAACTCATGGGGTGGGCTGAGGTCCAGGACCTGTTTTAAAAGAAGTCTGGACAAAGTCAGCTCCTTTGCAGTTTTTTCTCCTAGCAACTCTACTTGTTTTTATTTGTGATTCCCAGTTCAGAGGCCAAGGGACCATTTCCCAGCTATCAAGCCTGGAACATCTTTTCCCGAGGTGTGCCAAATGCAGTGTGGGACCATGTATCTTGGAGAGATTGGCTTGCCCGAGAGCCCAAGAACAGCTGGGGAGCTGAACCCACAGAAGGAGGCCAGGTTCAGATGTACTGACCTGGCTGATTTACAATGGAATATAAAGCAGACATCAGCCCCTTACTCCCAGGTGGCTGAAAGAGTTGTTTGACTCTCCAGCTGGCAGGCAAAAGGGCTGACAAACTTTGCTCTGGGGTTAAAATTCTGTTCAGTTACTGTATGGGTTTAGGCATAAGGTTTAGACTTAGAATATTCTGTGCGTACCTGGCACAGACACTCCATAAACAGTTACTTCTTGGACAAAATTGACTAGTCCTACTGTATCAGCGACTTCAGTGGTGGCCACATTTTCCCCTTTCCAGCTGGAAGAAAAGGCAAGGTTAGCAGAGGTTACCGGTGGGCCCTGGCCAGGCCGCCATGACAGGGCAGGTGGTATCCCCAGACCTCTGGAGGGTGTCTGCACCCGTTTTCCCATCTCTTTCCCCAAATCCCCACAACTCAGTCATGGGAAGGCATCCTGCTCGGGAAACAAAAGACAAAGGCATAGGACTAAATAATAAAATGTGAAATTCCAATCTCACCACATGAAACACGATACAAAGAATGATGTTGTTCTAATGTCAAAATACAGGTTTGGCCTAAGAAAGGCCCAGGAAATAAAAAATAAGTCTCAATGACTTTTTGTTGTGTTTAGTTCTCTCACTTTTCTTACTAACTTCGGTTGCTATTTAATTCAGTTTAATAGAATTTCGTCCTTGTATTTTAGGGTCTCATGGCAAAGGGAAAGCTTTGAGTAGAAGATATACTTTATGGGCACCTGGGTGGCTCAGTTGGTTAAGCGACTGCCTTCGGCTCAGGTCATGATCCTGGAGTCCCGGGATCGAGTCCCGCATCGGGCTCCTTGCTCCGCAGGGAGCCTGCTTCTCCCTCTGACCCTCCCCCCTCTCATGTGCTCTCTGTCTCTCTCATTCTCTCTGTCTCAGATAAATAAATAAAATCTTTAAAAAAAAAAAAAGATATACTTTATTTGCAGGGAGGTTATAATGTTAGTGCCCAATCAGGTGCTACTTGTCCACTTAATAAAGAGTTAAGTTTTGGGCGCCTGGGTGGCTCAGTCGGTTAAGCGACTGCCTTCGGCTCAGGTCATGATCCTGGAGTCCCAGGATTGAGTCCCGCATCGGGCTCCCTGCTCGGCAGGGAGTCTGCTTCTCCCTCTGACCCTCCTCCCTCTCATGCTCTCTGTCTCTCATTCTCTCTGTCTCAAATAAATAAATAAAATCTTTAAAAAAAAAAGAGTTAAGTTTTGTCTTACATTTAAAAATTCTTTAGATCAACATGAAGTTGGCATAAAATCACGGGATGGATCCTGAGTCCTGGAATACTAGAGATGGAAGGATCACTGGGACCCTCATTTCGTGGGGGAAGGAATGGGTTGAGAAAGGCTACCTGCCTTGCGAACACAGCTGGTCCGGAGTAGAGGTGAGCTTAGGAGCTTGGTTCTCCTCATTCACATTCTTGCTCTTCCTACTGCAGCCAGACAGCTTCCATCCCTTCCTCATCCATTCATGCAAAAAGTAATCATGTGTGTTAAGCACTGTGCTCGGTGCTGGGAGTGAACCAGCAGACACAGGGCCTGGCCTCAGGGAGCTTACATAGGAAGGAAGCTGATTAAACCAAAATGTCATGAGGCTGGAGGACCATGCTGCAGTTAGGAATTAGTTTCATGGTCTTATTGTAATGACTTTCATTTATTTATTTATTTATTTATTTATTTATTTATTTATTTATTAAAGATTTTATTTATTTATTTGACAGAGACAGCGAGAGCAGGAACACAAGCAGGGGGAGTGGGAGAGGGAGAAGCAGGCTTCCTGCTGAGCCGGGAGCCCGATGTGGGACTCGATCCCAGGACCCTGGGATCATGACCTGAGCCGAAGGCAGTTGCTTAACCAACTGAGCCACCCAGGTGCCCTGTAATGACTTTCAAACTTCATGGTGCTGACTCGGGTTTCTGTGGGAAGCCACCTGGTTAGGGCTGGAGCGTGGGAGGGAAGGAAACAGGCGGGGTTCAGAACCCTTCACCTCCTCTTCAGCTAGATCAGCTCCACATTAGCTTACATTTGATTTTATTTGAAGAAAGGCCCCATGATTGGAAACAGTGTGAAAATTCCTGGCTGTCCTACGAGTGTCTGGTAATAACTGAGGATAAATGAGAGAAATTGGATGGACTATTAGGCTCCAAAAATCGGGCACAGGTTTTCTGCCTTTTTCTCATCTGGTGTTGCTCAAGCAAGTTATCTGTCTGTGCACTGCAGAGTGACACTTCCTGTGTTTTGTTCCTTATTTTCTGGGAATACAGAAGGTCGACCTGACACGCCAAAAGATAGAAGGAAATAGAGCATCGTAGCCAAAGTAGGATGCAATTCCAATTTAGGAGTCAGCCAAATTGTGCATGTGTTTGTTTTTTGGCTCAGTAATTCAAAGAAACCAACCGGAAAGTATCTCCAACTCGGTCATGAAAGTAGATGAAATTTTCATGGTCAATCAGTAAGAGATCGCCACTGTTGAAATAGAGGTCTCCTTTCTTAAAGACGTCTCTCAGTTTTTTCTTCTCTGTCTGAGTAGTTCCTCCAGCATAACCACTAAAGGGCGTAAGTTGTGTGATTCTGCAAATGAGGAGTCCAACCTCACCTAAGACAGAAGAAAGTAAATTGTCATTTTATGTGCAAGCAGTAGGCAAATTTTATGATTAACATTCTCTTAAAACTGTTGCCATACACTCAAAAATGGACATCTTCACACATGGCCCTTAAACCTGCTACAAATACCATTTTTAATTTATTTTAATTTGTTTTATTTTATTTTTTTTCAAATACCATTTTTAACCTTACAGGGGCTGGTACTAAGCCTATCTTCAACAATGAAAAAATTAAAGACGGACTTTTTTTATAATTAAAATACCCTCAGAAAAATGTAGTGCAATGTTGTTCAAGTTGCATTTTCAGTTACCTTTATTAGAAATCATTTACAGAGCTGATCTCATTTTCTATGTACAGTGGCAACATTCAGATGCTTATCATTTCAATAATTTGCATATATTATTAGGAATCAGTTTTTGAACTTACAATGGAAGATATTTTCTCCTTTACCTCAACCTTTAATTTTCCACAACCTAATACAACTCACAAGTGAAATATCCCCATCATTCCATCTTAATTTTACAGCATTTCCAAGACATAAACTTATAAAATTCTCTTTCAATCTGTTTTGATTGACCAATGCACAGATTTTCCAAATTCTAGATCTTGAAGCTCCATATATATTTGTTCTGCAAGTGGATCTTAAAATTCTCTGAAAAGCGACCATGTTCAAAATAATTTTTATCTCATTTTACAGAAGATATGCATATCCCTCATATGCATAACCCTAAGTCCTGCCAATGGACATTGCCCCAGTTATTAAATTAACCCTGGGCTGAAATTAGCATATGTGTTTTTTTTTTTTCAGACTACTCCCAGATTTTCAAATTTGTAATAAAGTTGAAACTCATTGGTTTTCCTATGCCTTTCTGAGCTCTTATAACTGGGTTTTGATCACATTTCATATTAAAGTGGCTAACCCATGGCTTAAAAAAATAAAATCTAAATAACACCAAACTAAGAAAATTCTTTTAAAAACCTATCCTTCCCTGCCATATATATTTAAGTGTGTGAAGCCTGGCTTTAACAGGGGGTTTTGGAACATGTAGGGTATGCCTAGAGTGAGAGTGACAGGTCATGAGAATTTTCCCTTAGCAACTTTGCTTTTTTCAATCCTTGATAGAAACATGAAAAAATGCCTAGCTTTGGAGCAAAATAACACAATGCTAAGAAGTGGTGAATGCTAAAGAACAAAAAAACAAAGACACCCCAAAAAACAACCAACCAAACCAAACAACTATTGCCATACAATCCACTGGCAACACGCTGGCTGTAAGAAGTGTCACTTTCCATGCCCATGTACATGTGTATCCATACACATCAGATACACACATATAGACACTGTACACACGAAATAATTCTATGTGGCCACGCATTTGTAATTCTAAAAATGCTAGTATTTTACTGAATAATGATTTACACATAGCATTAGACAAATGCACAGTATGTTAAGCTTGAAGGTAAAGATCTAAAGCAAACTGTATTTTGCAACCGTACTTACATATTCCTTTCCACAAAATACCCCATAGTCAGGAAGTTGTTAAGCTAGGTTTCAAAGTATAATTATGTTACATGTAGTGGTAAATTAGTACCTTTTGGAATTTCTGTAACTATTTCTGAGGGTACTTAAATAAATCTCTTTTATTCCCCCACTCTAAAAAATTTTACCACGTATTCATTTTAACAATGATATGTTAGTTCTTAATAGTCACTTGATAAAGGTAAGAAAAAACCCAGGTTAACTGAACAAAACTCTCCCGTACCTTTGGGAACTCTGATGCAATATCCATTTCCATCTCGCACAGGCTCATCTTTCTCCACATCATATTTAATCAGATCGTAAGATATGACTTTCTAGCAAAATGAAAATATATCATTTTATTTTATTTATTTTTAAAGATTTTATTTATTTGAGGGAGGTTAGAGGGAGAGAGCGCGCGCGCACGAGCACAAGCATGGGGAGGGGCAGAGGCAGAGGGAGAAGCAGGTTCCCTGCTGAGGAGGAAGCTGGACACAGGGCTCATCCCAGGACTCCGGGATCATGACCTGAGCTGAAGGCAGACACTTAGCTGACTGAGCCACCCAGACACCCCAAAATATATTGTTTTAAATACAAATTTCTTCACCTTTTCCTTTTTATTGTGGTATAGCATACATTAAGTACAAAAAGTGCATATATCTTAAATGCCCAGCTTGATAAAATGACATACAGACACATCCATGTCACTACCACCCAGACCAAGAGATAAAACATTTCCAAATATTGTCAAAAGTCTCCTCTTGCCCCTTTCTGTCAAATCCACCGCTATTCTTTTTTTTTTTAATAAGACTTTCTTGTGAAGTCTTCTTGACTTTATTTTTTTTTTTAAAGATTTTATTTATTTATTTGTCAGAGAGACAGAACACAAGCAGGGGGAGAGGCAGGCAGAGGGAGAAGCAGGCTCCCCGCTGAGCAAGGAGCCCGATGTGGAACTCGATCCCAGGACCCTGGGATCATGCCCTGAGCCGAAGGCAGCCGCTTAACCGACTGAGTCAACCAGGCATCCCAAATCCACCGCTATTCTAACTTATCACCATCAATTAGTCTTACACTTCAAATAAATGAGATAAGGGGATGAAGTATGTGTCTTTGTGTTGCTGTTTTCCCGCTGTATAATGTCTGTTACTCGTCTAGCCATGCTAATGGCTTTTTTCCCAATAGTTCATTTTTTATTGCCATGGAATTTTCCTTGTATGAATATACCACAATTGATCTATCCTCCCGTTAACTGGCATTTGGACTGTTTTTAGTTTTAGACTTTGACAAATGATGCTGTTATGAACACTCTCATACATGTGTTTTGGTAGACATGTCACAAGTGGGTTTTAAAAACCCGTATGCCAGTGTTAGAAGTTTCATGTTTCCACACATTTTCCAATATATTTAAGGCTCAGTGGTATAATTATTTCATGCCTGTGGCTATAAAATGATTAATTTTATATTTCACATACACATTTCAAAGGCATAAGAATTTCAATTTATGTAGTTCGGTAAGAGTAATAAGTATATTTTTTCTCTACTAATATACTCTTATTTTCTCTACTAAATAGGACGGTATTTGGAAGTAAATTATTAGCCAGGAAGACTGTGTCCATTTCAAGTTTATATTTAAGTCTCTATGATAAGTTAACCAATCAGATGCTTTAATCATAGCAGATGACCATTACAATCAAGTAGCATTCATAGTCAGCCACTGTTAGATCTTGTTTATTTGCAAAGGTGTAAAAAATTTGGGGGTGCTAACGCTTCTTTCCACATCAGTTGCAGGGGCATCTTCTTCCTTTTTTTCAGTTAAAAAAATATCTTCTTGTTTAAAGCCGAAAAACGGACAATAAAACATGGTGATCAACCACTGAGAAGCCAAGAACTAGTAGTATATGGCACCCACTTTTAAGGTCCTCAGGTCTGGTTGAAAACAAATGTTTCCTTGCCTCTCGTCTTTTTCAGGTCAATAGCAATGACATAGACATCTCGTACCATGTCCCAATCAACTCAGCTTCCTATCCTTTCTTGTTCTGAGCTGCATTCGACCCGGGTCCCCGAGGTTCGGGCTGCTGCAGGTTGAACTGAAGCTAGCTAGAGAAGACTGACCTTATCGGGTGCAGCTGCAGTGGGGAGTCAGAAATGGATTCGCAGCCCTGTAAGCAGTGCTGCCCGGTAGAATTTTCTGCGATGATGGAAATGTTCTACCTCTGTACTGCCCAACACGGTAGTCATGAAACACACGTGGCTACCGAGCATGTGAAATATGGCTAGCGTGAATGAAGAACTGAATTAAAAATGTCATTCATATCATTTAAGTTGAAATGGTCACATGTAGCTAGCGGCCGCTGCGCCGGATGGCACAGGTGTGGAGGACGATGGCGGGACCTGCGTCACATAGGTGTGGCTGTCAGTGTCCCAGAGGTTCCTGGGGCTTGAGAAGGCCTTGAAATAAGGCTACAGTGTGAGGAATGGGATGATAATAAGCATTACAGCTAATAATTACTCACGGCTATTATATGCCAGGCATTGGGTTATATCCTCTAAGGATTTTTTTCCCCAAGTTATTAATTCTTTCAATAACCCTTCCCCCTTATTATAAATACAGAGTTTGGGCCAGGCACACGAGGCTCTACATTTTCTCTTTTTAGCTCCGTTTTACAAACAATGAAATGGTGGCCTAAGGAACACAAGTGACTTGCTCGAGGTCACCCAGCTGGTATGCAAGGTGCTGAGAGTTGATTTCTCAGGGCAGATCTCTTATGTGCACAAACTGCTGTCCTTTGTACTCTGCCCATCAGTCCCCAGGGACACATGCTGCGGGGGAGCTCTGGTGTGACTGTTCAGGGCCAGGCAGGAGGGGCTGCCAGATGCATAGTGCCTGCAGGGACTCCTCAAGCCAGTGGAGGCTCAGCCTTCGCTAAATATTCCTGGGATGGTTGAAAAACAGGGGGTCACCCAGAAGACTGACTGCTCAAACACAAAAAAGGCGGAGAGACTGTCTGGAGAGCCCGGGGCCATTAAATGCCTGTGAGGGAACAGAGACTGCTATGTGAGCTGGCTGAAAAATAAGAACTATCTTTCTGGTGGAGTGATCAGGCAAATTCAAATGTCTGTGAGATCCCAGAGCTGCCGCGCAGTCCAGTTCTCTTGAAGGTCTAAACGCAAACGGTGGTTCCTAACCCTGGCGGCACAGCTTTCGAAAAACACCGATGTGGGTGCCCTGTCTCAGAACCATGGGACCCGGAGCTCAGGGGGTGGCACCCTGCACCTGTAGACATACAGAGGGCCCCCGGTCACTGTGACGCACAGGACCATGAGCGAGAAACACCTCATTTCAGGGCGTGCAGTAAACTTACCGAACCAGCAGGCTTCTGGTGTTTTGACATCTGCACGTATAAACGGCATCAGGAAGACTGCGCGTAAGTTGCAGGTAGCAGAGGTTGTTATGAAGAGAAATTGAGATTTTAAAATTAAAGGGACCTGTCACTTTGCGCTCATCATCACAGAGAATGAGCAGGTCCTCTGTCTTGGTGAACACGGATCGGCCATGGCTCTGATGAGGTATGAAATTCTAAGAACGTCATCATGACACAGCTTTTAAGAAGTCTCTGTATTCTGAAAGTCAGCTACGTACGCTTTCATCTTTCAGTGTACTTACTTTCTGTAGGTAGTTTACTCTCCCAATAGCACCGATTTTTCTTGTATAATTCACAAAGGCAATATTGCCTTCAGTGGCAGCGTAGAACTCATAAATGCAAATGTCCCCAAATCTCCTGGTGAATTCCCTCCACACATCTCCTCGCAAGCCATTTCCTATTGCTAGTCTCACTTTATGGACGCGATCATTTGGTTTCTGTGGTAGGAGGAGGAAAGACCAAATTAAAACCTCTCCGGAGACTGTACCTATATACTTGTAATTGCCTTTATGTTTCTACATATTTACGTTGGTTGTGGATTCACCTCGCAGTGCACACCTTCTCTGTTACTCACACACATCACGCCTCCTCCCCGCCAACCCACGTGGTTTGGGCCGACAGCTAGAACTCTGATTTAATAACCAAAAGACTTGGCTCTTCCCATTCTGATTTTTAAAAGGCAAGGTGAGATGATTTGATAGAACTAAGTGAGGCCAACATTTAATCCACATCCAATCTGGAAGCTAGAATAAGGTATTGATTGTTTTCTTGATGGGGCTGGTGAATCTCAACTGCCAGAAAGGAGGGGTCACATGGGAAAGATCTATCAAAGACTGACAATCTGAAGCAATAGTCTTCACTTGACAAGGAAGAAGAAAACTGGGAACATAGTGTAAGGAGAGAGAGAATGATTTTCTACAGTCATTAATGTTAGGGTCTCAGGGGACTGGAGAGAAGACTTTTTTTTAAAAAAAGATTTTATTCGTTTATTTGAGAGACAGAGAGCATGAGTGGGGGGAAGGGCAGAGGGAGAAGGAGAAGCAGACTCCCCACTGAGCAGGGAGCTGGATGAGGGACTTGATGCGGGGCTCGATCCCAGGACTCTGGGATCATGACCCAAGCCGAAGGCCGACGCTTAACCGACTGAGCCAGCCAGGTGTCCCTGGAGAGAAGACTCATGATCATGTCCTCATTTCACAGACCCAGAGGTCACAAAGCCAGGTAAAGCTGAACCATGACAATGAAACTATCCCAATGGGATTGGGAAGAGGAAGAGAGAGAGGAAGCTGGCTCCCAGTTGCCTCAGGTGGCCTGGGAGGAATATACTTTGCTATAAATAAAAATCACAAAGGAAAAGTTGTCTTGAGTGTAAGAACTGAAAGGAGACCTTGTATCAGCAGGAGAGGTGGAGTTAGGACCAGGTGGCTTTCCATTCAACCACAATCAGTTGTGAGGCCCCTACAAATATGTCCAAATCTATAGTAATTTCGATGATATTTTATATTAATAAGGCAATTTATATCCTCCAGGAGATCACAGTTTGGTGGGAGAGAAAGGTAAACAAGTATAATTTTAACCTGCAGATTCTGTAATTCTATGACCTTTAACAGGAAATGGAATGGAATGGGTGAAAGTGCTTGGTAACTAGGATTCTCACATTGGGGCACCTGGGTGGCTCAGTTGGTTAAGCGACTGCTTTCAGCTCAGGTCATGAGGATCGAGCCCTGCACTGGGCTCCCCACTGAGCAGGGGGAGTCTGCTTCTCCCCCTCCCCCTGCTCATGCTCTTTCTCACACTTACTCTTTTTCAAATAGGACTCTCACATCAAGTGTTAATTTCTTGGATCGGACAACATTTGGCTTACAAATGTTCTTCAGAGCATTTGCTCCATTATTTCCTCTTCTGTGAAGTCATTGTGATGTTATTTTGGAGCTAGAGTTCCTCTTGGAAAAGAGCTGTTGGCATAGAGAGACTGGTGGTTCTCTGGTAAGGGGAGGGCCTTTGATAGGACAGGTGAAAACCCAGCCAAAACAAAGCTTGAATTGAGTTCCGTGCAAGAGGAGGCAGCGGGTCAGGGGAGTAGTGTAGATGCATTTCATTTTTGATTAGCTCCTTGGTCAAAACTCAGGGGGTGAGCTTCTTCAGGAGTCCTAACCAATGAGGAGAACAGATACTGGTCACTCGTAAAAACTGGGTCCCTGGGGTGGCCTTTCTGAGGAGGAAATGTGTAGGGCCCAGGGGTCTCCTGCCAGTAGTTCTTAACCAGGGTGTTCAGCAGAGTTACCTGAGCAGCCTTTTAAATCTGCATGAACCTCGACATTCCGAGTGGGAACCTATTCTCTTAATCAGCAACCTAGGTCCACAGGTCACTGAATCTATAGATCTTCCTCGATTTCCGATGGCATTACATCCCAATATACCCACCATAAATTAAAAATGTCATAAGTCAAAAACGCTTTTAATTCACCTAATCTACCGAACATTAGAGCTTAACCTAGCATACCTTAAGTGTGTTTAGAACACGTACATAAGCCTACAGCTGGGCAAAATCACCCAGCACAAAGCCTATTTTATAATACAGTATTGAATATATCATGTAATTGATGGAATACTGTACTGAAAGTGAGAAATAGAATGGTTGTCTGGGTCTTGGCTGTTCACCCTCATGATCGTGCGGCTGACTGGGAGCCGTGGGTCACTGCGCCTGCCCAGCATCATGAGAGAGGATCAGAGTATCTATTGCTAGACGGATAAAGATCAAAATTCAAAACTCAGTGTATGGCTTCTACTGAGTGCGTATCACTTTCACACCATGGTAAAGTAAAAAAATCATAGGTGGAATCATCATAAGTTGGGGACTATCTGTATTCCTTTTTAGAATTACAAAGTACCTAGAAGTAGGGAGGCCATGTGTCTGGTTGGTCAGGGCCAGTCCTGGTTTATGCCCGTGGTCCTGATGTGCTTATTAATCACACTCCTTTCACTCTCAAGTGTCCCCGTTTAGACAGTGAATTGTAGGGTCACCCTTCCATAAGGCACTATTCTCAGTTAAGGATTGTCAGCTTTTCAGAGACCATCCTCGCCTCCCACACTGCTGTCCCTCACTGCCCCTCCAGGAATAAAACGTCATAAATATTTGAAGAATATGGACTTTTCGCTTAAAAATAACCTCCTGACCTGGGGCTTACCTGCTCCCAGGCCTGTGTGAGAAGCTCCAAAGTAGCATTCCAGTGTGTAAACCCAAGACTTTACTAAATCCGTATGCAGCCCGTAATCACCCTCTTAGATCATTTCCTTTTCTAATGCGTGGCGAACATCTATCTCCCCCATGAGATTGTGAACTCCTTTGAGGCCAAATAGATCTCTCTATCATCTGCAGTGCCTGCACCTGGCTTTGCATACCGAGCAATAGCTTCAATAAAAGAAGGAGTAACCTCCACCAGGGAGCCCTCAAGTTCCCTGTTCGACAGTTAATTGCCCCGGACATCAGCCCAAGGGCAGGGCCTAGGGCACAGGAGGCGGCAGGTGCCTCGGGTGCCTGGGCCACAGGCCAGCCTCCCAGGTGCAGCTCTCACCTGGGGGTGGCAGTTAGCTGGGCTGAGAGTCACAATACCATGAGCTCGGTTTTCATCATGAACTGAGGGATCTTATTACACCAGCAGAAGGGATTAAGGCTGTAAGCTGGAAGTGTTTGTGCACACAAACTGGGAGATCCTGGAACCTTCTGCGATGTCTGGTTCTCACCCAAGTTTTGCTCACCACTGGCTGACAGTACCTGGTGTGACTTGAGTTTTCCTTGCCCGGAGGAGAAAGTGTGTTTCCTCATCACCAAATTCACTCCTCAAGGGAGCTGTATTTTAGGTCAAGAATCACCCGCTTGTTTTTCTTTAACAAAGATCAAACCTTTGATTCCATGTGAGAGAGGTGAGGTCACATGCAAACACACCCGGGGGACTTAAATCCGCACTAGGATTTGATGACTGAAAGGTGAGAGGTCAGGGTGTCCAGAGAGGAATGGAAAGCACCAGGTAAATAAGTAAACAGAAAACTTTTGTCGAGGGCTTTCCTACTACGTGCCAGGCATTTGACCTTTATTATCTTACTCAAGTTTCTATAGAATCCTACCAAAATGTGATAGGTAATGAAAATATTTGCCTCAGGGGTGCCTGGATGGCTTCGTTGATTAAGCGTGGTGGGACTCTTGATCTCAGCTCAGGTCTTGATCTCAGGGTCATGAGTTCAAGCCCCACATTAGGCTCCATGCTGGCTGGGAAGCCTACTTAAAAAAAATATATATTGGCCTCAATTACAATTGAGGAATCAGAGTCTCAAAAAGATTAAAATAATTTGCTGGAGATCACACAGGTAGCAACATAGTTCTCCAAGATTCAAATCCAAATCTATGTGAATGCAAAGAGAATTCTTTCCCCCTTAGTTAAAAAAAAAAAGAGTGGCACATGTTCTAACAGTCAAAGCACTGAAAGGCTTTTAAATGGCCGATGCCGTCACCCCACTTGCCTGCTCCATCCTCTGCCTCCACTCTACCACCTGGAGGCAGACACTGTGCACTCTTGTAGCTCCTTCCTCTTCTCTCCGGTTTCTAAATTACATGCTTAGACTGCTCTCTTTTGATTCATCAATTGTAGATGTTATTTGTTGATTTTCTATTGTGCTGGAGGAAGTTGAAGCTCTCTATCATTCTCTTCAGTTTTTCCAATATCCCAATTTTTGGTTAAGTCAATATTCGGTGCTCACATTATTTTGCTCATCATACACTACTGAGGAGCCAAGGAATATACTCTGATCAAATTCTTGAGGCAGTTTTTTCCCCCTGGAATTCACTGCCACCTGCCCATTTGCTTTGTTTTCTTAGTTTCTACTCACAGGTGTTTCTTCACCGTCCAACAGCCTCGAAATACAATGTTCTTCACGGTGAAACCCACCAGATGCTCTAATTTCCTTTGTCCCTTTGTGCTTCCTTTTAGGCCCCTGCTCCGGTCTGTACTGGTTGCTCTCCAGGCCTGGGGATTCCCTTTACCTCTCTCTCCTGGATCCTGGGTCCTCAGCTCTCTCTGCTCACTCTCCTGTTTGCATGGAACACTTTCTCTAGTAACTTCACAAAGGAGGGTGTATAGGAGGTAAGTTATTTTGAGACTTTGAATGTCTGAAAATATTCTTACTGTACACTTGAGTGATAATTTGATCGCAAATAGAGTTCTAGAGAGGCAATACTTTTTACTAAGAATTTTGAAGGCACTGATCTTTTGTCCTCCAGCTTGCAGTGTTGCTGTTGCCAAGTCAAATATTATTCTTACAGACTCTTTCCTCTCTCTCTCTCTCTCTCTCTGTTTGGTAGTCTTATGTTTCATCCTGGTGTATTTAAAAATTTAAATTCCACCCATTTTATTGGGTACTCACTTGGCTCTTTCAATGTGTC